TGATTAGGGCAATTTGAGAAATACCAGCATAAAGACAATTTTAACCCATGTGAATGGATGAAAGATCTTAAAGATGTTGTGCAAGTGGAGGAGAAAACACAAAAGATGGCGGCTCAGGTTACTCTAACACTGTTTTAAATATTTAGAAATAGGTGTTTTGGGTGAATACCCTACACTTTACTTACTACATTAGATCTCTACTATGGATAAAACATTGAAAGGGTTTATGGAAATTTCATCATGAGAAACTTTATATAGCCATTCATTCTTCATTCAATAATTTTAAAAAAGGAAAACAAAAAAGCAGTATCAATGAATTGATATAGGTTGAGAGGCCTATACCTAGGGGCACTGTAAAAATCATAATATTGGGCCTCCGTGGTGGCACAAGGTGTTAAGCACAGCACTGTGAAGCTATCCACAGCCTCTGCAGCCTCTGCTAGGGAGGTGGCCCACATGGCACAGCAGACCTCTCCTGTATCACCTGCTACTCCCCTCAGCAGTGTATTTCAGTCAACCTGCCTGTTCTGTTCTCCACTCTGCCTCTGGTGAATCCTCTCACCGCCCCCCAAACACCTCTGGCCTGTACCCCAGTTCTTGTATGCATAAATAAATCTTTAAAAAATAAAAACAAAGGGCCTCCCCGGTGGCGCAGCAGTTGAGCGCTGGGTTGCGAAGCTGCCCGCAGCCTCTGCAGCACTGGTTTGATCCCGGCTGCTCCCCAGCCACCAGAGGAGGGTCCCACATGGCGCAGAGACCTCTCCTGCGGCCCGCTGCTCCCCTTAGCAGTGTACTTCGGTCCTTCTGCCTGCTCTGCTCCCTGCTCTGGCTCTGGTGAATTCTCTCACCCTCCCGTGATTCTGACTGTACCCAGTGCTTGTATAAATAAATAAATAAATCTTTTAAAAAAAAATCATAATACTTTTCTCTAAAATGGTACTCTATAAGTTCCACTGCAAACTTAAAGTCAGGTCTGTAGACTTCTGTTTGCCTACACCAGAAAGTAATAGATCTACACTAAATAAGTTTGTGTAAAGCTATGTAGCATTGTAAAAACAAAAATAATAGGTTTTCTAATTGGATATATCCAAATGTAAAATATTATTAACATATTTCCCTTACATGCAGGTTTTCTAAATTGTAATTAAAGAAAGAGCATCAACTATTCAGTCTTCAAATGTTTTCCAATTCCTCCCACCACATCCAAAAAAGGAGGAAAAGGAATAGGAGGAAGAAGAAATGAAAGAGAGGAAAATGAGAAAAGGAGGAAATAACAACTATAAATAAGTAAAAGAAAAAAATTCTTTTTTCTAAACTCTTCAAAAACTAAATTACTCGGGATTTTTCTCCCATAAAATGCAGGGCTGTCTTCAGCAGGTATTACTAGAAACACACACACACTACACATCAGCTCCTTCATTTGTGTGTGTGTTTGTGTGTGTGTGTGTATATGTGTGTAGACAGACACACACCCCCAAATTACACACACACCCAGATTACACACAAATACCCCCAAATGCCAAATGCATGAAATTTGCTTATATTTTAATTAATTAATCCATATTTTAATTGTCAAAGATGCTTATTTAATATAGGCTGCTCAGGGATGAGGTAACAAAATTATTCTTATTATTAAATCTTATTATTATTTTATTAATAATAAAATTATTCTTATTATTGTAGAATCATGACTTTTTTAAGAAAATTTTTTTGTGATGTTCTAAGAAATCCTTTTGGTTTATGTTCCACATGTTGCCTAGAATCAAAGATTATTCAAATGAAGCCAATTCAGATGCGATATTATTGCATAGTTGCAAGAATAAATTTCAGGTTACTTATATGCAATTTAACTTCTGAAATGGACTACATATGGCTATGATAATAAGCCCATTACTGAAAGAAGTACATTACTAAAATGTATGTAAACCTTTATGAGATCATACAGTTGCACTATGCACACACATTACTTTATCTCCCAAATATCATGCATACCGTTTTCATTTAATAGGTAAGGATTAACAATAAGAAAAAATTCTCACTTTTAAAATATGTTTTAACAAGTATAGTAAAAATATCAAAGTGACACAATGTATGGCATATAGACGAATTAAAAAGTCTTGTTAAGGTTTGTATTAATTCCTTGGAAATAATTATGAAACCTATTCTGATATAAAACTGAATAAAATCTATAGGACAAAGGCTAAATTCAATATATATTCACCTAAAAAATAGTACAGAAAAATCTGCATTTGTCTAATTAATCTGCATCAAATAAGAAAATCTTTATTTACATCCCAAATAAAAAAGTTTGTCTATAATTATCAACTAGCTTAATATTTATTCTCTATGGATTTCTACAGACACAAGATATGGAAAAATCATAAATAATATTAGCACATATCTTCTATGAGGTTGCAAAATAACATTTTTCATATACTATAAAAATGCACATATAAATAACCCACCAAGCAAATTTCAATGCAAATCTATGTATCATTTGTCACTGCATAAAATTAATTTCTGTGTCTAGCACCAAGGGTAGTCAGTATATCTTTGAAATGGTACAAGCTTCTCTAAATTTAAAATTCATAGGGAAAATAAGCACACACTTCTAAGAAGGATAATAAGTAAGGAGAAATAGCAGAATCCTGAAGAGCAGGAAAGCTTAGAGATCCTACAAACCAACCCCCTCATTAGAGATGTGAGCACTCAGTCCAGTGTGTTGAAATAACCTAGAGGGCAGTGTTGTCTACATCCCAAATTTTCAACAATTCCCCACAGTTGTCATCATTATGGTGTAAACCAAAGGTAATCCAATGTCAAAAGAACTGTTTACATACTAGTTCAGTCACAGTATTCACAGTTTCCTTTGCTTTGGACAAAGTAAATGCTAAATACAAATAACAGTTTCACACACACAAATGTAATATTATGTGTTTTCAACTCCTCAACCTTGGGCATTTTTCACTAAGTTATTATGAATTCTGCTGCATAATTGTGGCCCCAACATAAATTCCCCCCTTATACTGTAATATTAAATGACAACAAAGATCCTAGGTGTGTCTCTGGGGCAGAAGGACAAAATGGGAGAAGGAAGAAAAGAAGAGAAAGTGGGAAAGGAAGGAGGAAGACAGGAAAGAAGGGAGGGAGAGAAAGAGAGAAATGATGTCTTGCTACTGCTGTTCCAGTAAGCTGGTTAATTGCATTGGTTTCATATATCTCCAAACACCCTGGTACATTAATTACATTCTGTAACACCAAGCTCTTCTGATTCCCTCTGTCACTTCCACTGAGCAATTTAATTGTATTTCTCCTAGCTACGCAATGATTTAAAAAACCCCAACCTGGTGATAATTCTGTAGTCTACAAAATATAGATTGAGGATATGTATGTTTTTGATATTGAAATATATAAATTCATAGCTTTTGAAGCCATATTATCCAAAAAAGTTTTACCCATGTCTTCTTATCCTGATTATCAAACAGAACTTAGAAAAACATGCAAACCTTTTTGTTTGGATTTGTAAATGTAAAGGTAGATATGTATTGGAGAAGAAAATGTAAGGTGAATGATTACAGGTAACTCTGTGTGTGTGTGTGTGTGTGTGTGTGTGGCCACAGTCCAGTTCATAATTATTCATTCTAAACATCTACTGCTTAGAAGAAGGGAAAAAGAAAAGGAGTGTGCCCAGATGAATGCCTTCCCTCCTATCACTAGGAGGCAAAGGTACTCATGTAGTTCATGATTGAAAACAGCCACTTGACAGTAGGTAAACTCATCTGTATTGCCTCATGTTTATAGAAAGGCTTCCTTTTTGAGTAGATACATTGAGTTCCTTACAGCAGCAGCTGCCAGGAACAAAGTTAGTTCCTGCAGGCAGGCAAAAATTAGGTAGAGTCCCAAATAATGAATTCATCCACAATACAAATGCCAGGCGAAAGTTTAAGTAGCAACATGCTACTATTTGAATCAATACACCTTAGATTTTTTACAAGGATAGCAATGTAAAATCTAAAGTTCTACAATTCACATTTCCAGAGGGGGTAAGCATGTTCTAGCCTTCTCTTTAGACCCATTCTTTCCACTGATGTAAAAAGTCCCTAGAAGGGTAATACCAAATATTTTGTAGACTTTCTTCTTTTGAATAAACACAAAAGCATGGTAATGATTACTTCCCCTCGTCCTTCAAAAGAGCTACAAAAAAGGATTTTGCAGTCCTCTCACAAGATACTGGCATCCTGTGAAATATCCCAGAAAACCAAATCTGAACAAAAGACAGGAGAAGCAGGCAGAACACTGTCTGCTTGACAGACCAACTCAACCTAGAGGGAGACACCAACAGCACCTGTTTCAGATCCCTATTGTGCTTGCCACTGGGGACCAAGCTGAGTGTTCTGTGCCCACAGCCCGCCCAGAGCTCTGCTCTTCCTGGAGCCTCGCCCAGTCTTACTTTTGACAGTTTTCTCCCTATGATCTGGATTTTTCATTCTGATCTCACACTGGGAGAGCACTCACCAGCATGCAGGTGACACACATCGATCCCCGTGATCCGTCTCTAATTCCCAGCCCACTGAACCTTCATTGGAGTGTCTGTTACCATGTTTCTTTACTTGAATTTCTAAGCCAAAGTTCAGATATAAGAACAGACACCAAAGAGAGAGCAGGCACAGGAGTATTAACCTGGCTCAAGAGATTTAATATTTTTTTTCTAACAAAACTTCAAGCCCCCTTCATTTATTATCCAACTTCTCAACTAATTAGGTAAATTACAACAGTAACAACAATAGGTGAGTACTAACACGTTCTGCTTACAGTAGAAACAAAAGACCTAAAACCCCTGCCCCCCAAAACCTCTCTTTGCCTGGCCAAAATGGCAACAGACATAATGTCATTTTATTTATATAGTCTACATACGACTCAGAAAGAAATGTGTCTTTTTGGGGGGCAGGGGGGTTGAGGGGAGTGGAGAAGGGGAAAGAATAAAAAGCCTTTTTACTTACCATTAACCCGAATATACAAAAATCCACAGAGCAGTAGTTGTGTAAACATCAGCCGACTCATTTTGACATAGTAAAAAGAATCCAGGTTGTTTAAGAAATCAATCCCAGAGAGCAAAAGTACAAAAATAAGTATCAAAAAAAGAGGTAGGTCCAAAGTTTAGACTTTCCTAGATGCTAATTAAAGTCATGAAGAACATATTGCAAGATCAGAGGGGGTAGGTGAAGAGGCTTGAATGGGGCACATCTAGATCCATCCAAATTAACAGCAGGTACTCCACAGCTTGCTGTATTTCCACGCTCAGGCTTTCGAAATTCCCACAAATTCAGCCCAGCCGGAGGGATTATTCAAGTGTGTCTAACGCTCTCTGCTTAGGCTCCATTGCAATCCAAAGCCAAGTTCTTTCTTCAGAAGTCAAGAAGATGAAGGGGGAGGAAAAAGACCTAATTCCTAGAAAGTGTTCCACAAACTTGCCAGCGCGCTGCCGAAAAACCATTGGCCAGCCCACTGGGTTGATTCCCCGGGTCTCCTTCTCGGTAGCAGCTCCACGTCCAGAGTTTTTTCACTTAACTTCCATAATAGGGATGTGTCAAAGCAACACTTTGCAGGCGGGCCGACTTGGCGGGCCTCTCCTCTGCAGCCTCGCTGCCTCCCTCCACCACTCCCGTTTCCAAAAGAGAGGAGCAGGAAAACCCGGACGGCTCGGGTGGAGGATCCCAACTCCTCCGCGGCGGGGCTCCAGGGAGGAGGGACGGAGGGAGGGGCGCGGCCGCGACAGCGGACAGCCCCGCGGGGCGGCCTCAGAGGACGGGGAACCCCGCGGCGCCGGGCGAGACCCCAGCGGGGCGAGCGAGCCCCGGCGCCGGAGAGAAAGGGCCGCGCGCGGTGCAGCCGCCCGCCCGGGTCCGGGCTCCGGTCCCCGCCGTCCAGCCGCCCGCGCGGCCGCTGCTCCCGCCGCCCCGCAGCAGAGCGTCCGCCTCCACCGGCAGCTGCCGCGGGTGGAAGGACTTTAGGGGAGGGAAGGCGAGGAGGCGGGAGGGGCGGGAGGAAGGGAAGCTGCTCGGAGTCTGCCCCCGGGAGGGAGGCGCGGGAGGGGGCGGGGGAGAAGAGCGGGTGCGCGGAGCCCTCCACCTCCCGCCTCCGCCGCCCGCCGGGGCAGGGGCGCCGGCCCGCTGGGCAGTGGGGTGGGGTGGGGTGGGGTGGGGTGGTGCAGGGGAGCCGGAGAGCCGGGAGCCCTGGGGGACGGAAATGAACAAAATCGGAACCGAGTCCCCGGGTCAGCTCCTTCCCCTTCTCCGCGCCAGCGCCCCCTCCACTCCCTCCCCGCCTCGGGAGGGGATAGGTGGGCTCGAGCCTCCTGTTCCTCGCCTCGTCCCGTTTAATGGGCAGGTAATTTTCTCGGTGAGTGATTTCATGGAAGCTCTTCCTAATTATTCATTCCTCCGTCTGCCAGAGATGCACGCGCTTTCTGGAAAAAGACCATCCTCCAGGACCTAGGGCACAGCCTCATTACCCGTAAAAATCACACAAACACTCACTCTTCACCTTTTAACCAAATGTGTAGCTGAGCGGGAGGGAGAAAAGGAAAGGAAAGAAAACATATAACCACATTTTGGAGCGGAAAGATTGTGGGGGGTGCTTCCTATGTCGTTGAAAAGGAACAAGGGGGGAATGGGGGGCAGAAATCTCTGGCCTCGGCTAACTCATTTTAACCAAGATCTGTGGGCCCCCGAGGAATCCCGGCAGAAGGTGGGAGGGAAGGTGCATCCCGTCCTACGTTACTCTGTTGCCTTCTGACCCCTCAAAGATGAGTTTGGCGCAGGATTCGTGGGATGCAAGGGAGTTCCGCAGAAGATGCTTAGGATGGAAAGTGGGGATCAGAGAGATTGCAGGGGGTACCCGAAGTTTGTATCCCCCAGAGACAAGCACCCCTGAGCGGGGGGGGATGGGGAGAACGGACGGAAAACACAAGCTAGGAGAAGAGGAAAATCCAGCTGAGCTAATGGAAGCTCAAAAAAGATTCCAGCCCAAAGATGACAAAATCTTGAAAATTAAGGCAGAACCCACCCACTGAATGCCATTTAGGACCGGGCATGATTAAGGAAGGCCAGGTCAGATCAAAGGGATGTCACTGTCCTCGGTGCCGCTGTGTGGCCGGTGTGGCCGGGCTCACGTGTGATCACAGGCTGGCTGGTAGCTGTTTGATGCTTGTTGAAGTGATTAGAAGGCGAGTTATAGGAACTCACGCGGGTCTGCGAGCTGAGCTAGAAGCTGGATGGTGAGTCTTTAGTTCCCCCTACTGGAAAATATTAGGAAACATTCTTTGAGGTCGTTTGAGGAAGAGCCTTTTGTTTGGTGGGTGCTTTTTGGCATTGCCACTTAATTTAGCGCTTCCTTGCCTATGATGGACGTGATATTGTGTGTTTAGGAAAGAACATGCTTGAAAATCATGGTAATGAAATGGTTTTGCTAAAGAAAAAATATCCACTCTAGTAGAATAACAGTATGCTTAAGTTAAATCTCTTGAATTCTTACAGTAATGATTCTGAGTGAATAATCATTGACTTTATGTGAAAGAGGCTAAGCAAGGCTAAGCAAGTTCACATGTATTCCGCCCTCCCCAAGAGCCAAGGAGAATAAATTAGATAATACTGTGGTTTAGGAAAAGCCCACAGCTCATTGGATTAGCATATCTCTTATCTAACTATAATACTGGAAAAATCATGGATAATTCTTTAAAACTTTATTTTAAACATTTGAACTAGGTTTAAATAAAATCTACCTAATTCCTCTAAATAATGTATCACCCCCAAATCTCAAACTTCCTTACATTCATGCAATAAAAATAGTCTGAGAGGAGTCTTTCTAATAAAATAATGCAGAAATTAACACATCATGAAGATTAAATATTAAGATCAAATAGATATTCAATATTAAGTTAGATCTCTAAAAGGAAGTTATTGAAACAGTTGACTTGGAAGAATTTTATCAGAATTTTGATAGACTAACCATTTATAGTTGCATTTTCCTTAAGTCATATATAAAATCACTTAGAAGCAGAAAAGTTGTGTGTGTGAAGCGAGGGGGTTAGGCTGGAGGAAAATGACCCACCAATTGCTGTTGTCCTATAGGGCAGAAAAATGTTGTCTCATATCTCAAAGAAAGTTGTTCTTTTGTATAATATGAGAATTGACCTCATAAAGAAGAGGGGTTTATTTAAGGGGAACCTCTGGTTGCATTGGCATTTGGTGCCAACTATCATCATTTTACAATCATAATTAATTTGCCTACTAAAGATGACAAAACATGACAGTGATTTCAGCATAGTGCCACATTTTTGCAATGCATTACTTATGGTTTCAGTATATAGTCATTAAAGTCTAAAACAAAGAAATTATGAAGTTCACATTTTCTGCTTTTCTTGCAGATAAATTCATAAATCATGTTTACAAAGAACACTTTGTAAGTGTCTCCTTTGATATGAAACATGACTAAGGAAAACTGATGATTTTATGAGAATCTCATACAAAGTGATGGTTTAAGATTATGACTAAAGCAGGACCCTCCCTGGTGGCACAGGGGTTAAAGTCTCGCACTATCAACCTGTCTGTCATCAACCACTGCGGCTTGAGTCCCATCCCTGGCCAGGGACCTAAGCCACATGTGGTGCAGCAGACCTCTCCCGTCTCCCCTGCTGCTTCCCTCAGCAGTATATTTCAGTAGATCCATCCGTTCTGCTCCTTACTCTGTCTCTGGTGAATCCTCTCACCCCCTGCACCTCTGGCCTGTAACCCAGTTCTCATATGCATAGATAAATGAAATAAATCTTTGAAAGAAAAGGTTATGACCAAAGCACTCATACCAAGTCAGCAACAGGAATAGTAAAGGTGGCAGACAGAAATTTCATGTGGACAATATTACATCTACAAGCAAAAAAGATACCACTTTCTAGAAAATGTGATGATACCTGTTTAGAGAAATGTGTATATTTCAATAAAATTTGACAAATTTTAGGTGAATACTATATAATAAAGACTTCTTTAATTTTAATTAAAAATTAAATCCTGAACATCCTAGAAGTTGGATATGTAATTTTTGCAATGCTTTAACTAAAAAAAAAAAAAATTGTCTAGATATTCATTAATATGAAAAGCCAAAAATGGCTTAGAAAAATAAAGCCCTAACACCAAATCAGAGATTTAATATACAAAATGGCCAATGGTCACTTGGCTTCAGTATCTTTCCAAATATGAATTACTTTTCTTTTCTAAACAAGCAGCTGAGTGGAGAAACGTACATGGAAGTCTAGGCTCCTTTTATGTAAAACTTGGAATGGTATTATTATGTACTCAAAATGTGCCTACCAGATAAATATATATTTTAATACCTCAAAAGAAGACTGTGTGTAAGACACTATAATTTACTCTAATTTCAGTAAGGTGATCAGATGGCCTTCTTTGTGATTACATTTCTGAATTGGCATTCATAGAGAATCAGAAAGTACTAATCTGAAGGCAATCTGTACAATATAGGAAATAAAATATTAAATATTTATTTCCCATGCAAGCTTTCTCAAGGATGTGGTATAAATTGAAACGTCCTAATTCACTGTTTCTACTCCTTCAGATATGCTGTCCTTATAAATGCAAGGTCATATATTAAGGAAAATCAAAGATTTGATCTATACTAATCATTTTAAAATCCTTTACCATGTGGTCAGAATTTTGTGTCAGGGATCTTTTCTAGTTTTTTTTTTAAATATATCATTTAATTCCTATGAGAGTCTTACATGGTTGACCTTATTCCCATTTTACAGATATGAATATGAAAGATTAGCTATCTAACTCAAATTAATAAAAGATGCAATCTTTCTTTGAATCCACATTTTACTACAAAATCTGTGCCAACTGTTAAGCTAGGTTTCCTGGGATTAATTTGAGATATATTACAAATAACAGAAATACTGAACACATTAACAAGTTATTTCAATTGATAACTTAAAAAAAAACTTATAGGGAAATAAAACACAGAATTATGTGATCAGTTTTGTCTCAAAATTGAAGAATCTTTTAAAAGTCAAACATCATCATTTGTTATTTGTTCAGTTTCAATTACTCTATATATTGTAAGATTGTCTTCCCATACTATATGGAAACATCACATTTAGATAATATGTACAGCTTTTTATCTATAAAAGGGCACATGGCAATTAAAATAGAGCATTAGACATCCAGGTCAGAGAGGAATGACTCATTGGCCCCTACATTATTTTTTTGTCAGTACACGCCATGTCATTCTAAAATGATTTGAGAGAGAGCCAAGATTAATTGTATATATTTTTTTCTGAAATATGTTCTGAGTATCTGATTTCAATCAATTAACTTTCAGATATTCACTAATACTTTTCTACACATAATAAGTCTGCCTATCTTAAGTATCTATCTATGATTAGTGCTTTTCATAAATTACATGAAGTTATTAAAATATTTCATTTTCAGAGATCTGGGATTTAATACAGAAATATTTCAAGTAAGTAGAGGGTTTGCCATCAAATATATCACCTGGGTTCAAGAAGGATTTTTGTTTCTTTAGAATTAAAATCAATTTAGATAATCATTTTCAATCTAGATTGAAAAGTTGAGTGATAGCATAGATTCTGAATAAACACAATACCCCTGTCAGTAATGTATAAATTTGAAGCAGAATTTTTCTAAGTATGTAGAATTTCTCTGTGCTATGCACATACCTTAAAAATTGGGATTTTGTAAAATATGAAAATATCTCACA